TTTTGCTGGTCAATCAAGTCATGATGAGCATTTGCAGAAATAAAACCCACAAAAAGACTTTTTCTGGCTATTTGCGAAAACTTTTCGACCATGGAAACTTCTAGTTACATACATAGGCAGAATTATCAAAATACTATTGCAAAATCTAAGCCTAATAAGGCTAATCATACTTAGAGGCTTTTATCACTTCATAATAACAATTGTGCAGGTACAAATAACCTCACAACAATGTACAAGCATGAAATATCACATAAATCTAGTTCTAATACTATTAAATTATTATTATTATCAAGGGAGAGTGTCTATTCTTGCTACTATGCTACCTAAAGAGTGCTTTCACAGTCCTGATTAGTACCTCAATTATTAGAATTAACACTTTACAAGCTACTCGAGATCATGAATGCACTATTGTTATTCTTACGTTATGAAAGCTTTCCTTGCTGCTTCTACAGCTTTCTGTACCTCCTCGGCTCCGCTGTCTGGTATGTTAAGATAATGTTCTCCAGTGGACGGGTCATAGCTCTTTATGTAGCTGCCTGTCGGTAGAAACTGACCGTCTATGAAGTTCTCCAGCTTCGGAAGACCAGCCATGTTGCTGTTTATTAGTTGGGCGGGGCTAGTTATACAAAGTTATTAATGATTGCGTCACATGACGTTTGGCTAGCTTACCGGGCTTTGGCGGTCTTTGTACTTGTTGACTCAATCACTTTAAATTAGAAGTTACACAACAATTAAATTATTAGTAAAAAATCAATTTAAAAATAATAATTAATAAAACTATGATCTGTCAATCAACAAATTAATTATCTCTCTCTGTACCAATGCTATCCACAAGCTGGATCTTTAAAACACAACCTTCAGGCAACAAATGATATTGGGTGTCTAGGCTCTCCATTTTCGTAATTAATTTTTGATTTTGAAAATGAAATTAGAAATGGAGCATCTGCGCATGCGCAGTACAAATGGCTGAATTTAAATTTACTTGGAGCGCCCCGGCCCCCGCAAATAATATTAATTAATTACTTGGTTAGTGGGTGTGGTTTTACACTTGGAAACCAAGTGGAAAGTTTTCTGCACTTTTACAAGAAGTCAAGGAAAAAATCAGTCGAAAAAGGAGCTATTAATGGCAAAAAAGAAACAAGAAATTTTAGATTTATCTAGTAAGATATAAAAAACTAGCCTCCTACATGTATTTTTAAAATAATCACCATTTCTTCAGACAAGGGTCTTAAGTCTATTTCACGTTATGCAAGTGGAAGCCAGAAAAGGGACCACGTACTCAAACTGATATTAGATGATAATCAAT